AGAAGAAATATGCGGATGAAGAAGAAAGAGGCAAAGTAGAAGGCTTTAAGGTCGGGGACCTGGTTTTATTAAAAACCTGCCTACACGTACCGCCTCTGCTATCTTCAGGACGAAGCTTCGTCCACGGTTCATCGGACCGTTTAAGTTTGTGGCCAAGCGAGGCCTAGCGTATGCGCTGAACCTTCTGAAACGGATGCGCACCCACCCGGTGGTCCTTTGCTTTCACAGCGGGATCCGCCGGGCGGAAGCCATATCCCACACGAGGGTCAATGACTGACCGTGGATAAGCGCGCATCAGAGCCGCCTTACGGGCAGCTTCAAGCTGCCGCTTCTGTGCCTCATTGAGGTCATTGGTGATGACACCACGTCCCTCAGGTGATGAGCATAAAACGAACATGGGGTCCGCAAGGCGCGAGCAGGGCTCGTCTCACGCCGCTGGCGCGGCTCGTCTTCCCCGTCATCCCACGCTGTCAGAATAGTGAGACTTGGTGACTTCAGTGTCGTTGACACAGGGATTATTGAGCACGAGAGTCGTTTTGTTCCAACGAACCAAGTTGCAGTGTCTAGCGGACACGCAAGCCTCGTTGAGGCAGTAATCGATTGGAACTGTAAATGTTCTCAATCTTAATGGGGAGAGTGTAACGGAGTTACACGTTCTCTCGTAATAGGTGTGTGTCACACAAGATGCGCATGGTGTGACTGCACCCAAATAAGAATACGGTATGTGGCTGGGTAGCCAGAAGTTATGCATGTATTTAGATTTTTCTATATATATTTAGAAAAATCTATTCATTTAGAATTAGGCGGCTTTGCCGCGGATAAAATCAATGAAATCAGTTTTGAATTTAGACCGAAGAGTTTATTAGCCTTGAGTTAAGAATCTAACTACTCTAGGATGTAGCGGATTGTGATCCGCTACACTCGTACTGGTTCTTGTAAAGAACGAAAGGTCGATGAGCTAACTTACGCTTCCTCAAAGCGCAAAACTACGGCAGCGGGGCTGCCGTAGGGACGTTACGGTGTCTCCGACACACAAGCCTCGAATGAGGCGACGATTAAATGTAAATCGTGAATATTCACGATTTTGATGGGGGAGAGTGTAACGGGGTATCACGTACCCTTGTATGAAGGGGCGTGTCACACAAGATGGTGTCACCGTACATAGGTACACAAGTTGGTGTCATTACAGGATGTTGTGGCTACACCGTAACAAGAAGCCATTATATGGCGGGACTGCCAGCAGTTATGCATATTAATTTATTCAATTAGGAAAACCTAATGTCTTAGGTGTAGGCGGCTCAGCCGCAAATAAAAAAATGAAATACAGTTACGGTAAAGCGTCTTTGGCTTTGTTAAGATTCTTAAGTACTCTTGGAGGTATACGATTCGCCACGCTCGTACCGTTTATTGTATAGAACGTAAGGTCGGTGACCTTAGTAAGCTTGTTCTAAGCAAAGAGCTACGGCAGTCCCGCTGTACCCACGATACACATGATCTATTTTGTTTTCCCAGAAACAAGCGATCGAACACCTTGTGTTCCATTCTTACAATTTGTTTCGCTAATCGACCCTCGGTCGACTACATCCTCTGTAATATCATGGAAAAAAATATATCGTCACCTTACCAAGACATGCATTATTGAAATGTTTAGTGAAATACGCTAGCGCCAAAAAAGTAAATGTTTGAGAATTTGAGGTGTTGATATCTGACATCGTAAATACATCTCAACATCTTACAAGAAGAAGAAACTGACTTCAACGGCTACAAGGGCTTTGTTATATCAACCTCGCATTAAAAACATTTATGCAGCTCACAGCTTCATGGAAATTTGTGACTTCAAGAGATTAAATGAGTTTCCAGTCTTTAATGATTGTCTTAAGTAGACGCAATTACTACAGATATTGGTGCGGTCGTCTTGATCACTCAATCGCTATACTCTCAACGCGTTCTTTGTTTTCATCGACAAGGTTTATTATGGAAGCGAGATCAACGCACAAGAATCCCATGCTATTTGCTGCTGCACAAACATTCGGCATTCCCCAGCCGTAGATGTTATTCGGGTATTCATGATAGGAAGTGTTACCACAATTGCTAGGGACCAAAAAAGGTTTGTGTAATTTGCGCGAAGTCGTTTTGGCAAGACCTAGTAGAATTTTTTCATAAGACGGAGATTTTTCCACTGCGTTCACTTCGGACGAATAGTTCAAACTGAGAAGTAGAGCGATAGCACCAGCAACGTGTGGTGTGGCCATCGAAGTTCCAGTAAGTCGCATGTAGGCGCTGTCCTTGACGCTTGAAGCCGACCGAATGCCAACGCCAGGAGCAACAAAGTCAGGCTTGATGATGTACGATTTCGGTAGTTCATACAAATTTTCTCCGCGATACTCGTTCTCTATGCTTGGACCTTTTCCACTCGCACCCCAAAGTGAGATTCCCCCGATTAATGCACCAACAGCTATCGTATCTTCATGGCTCCCAGGATAATACACACTTCCGCACAAAAAACCATTTGTATTCCCACTTGCAAAGACTGGGTAGACGCCGGCCGCTCGCCATGTATCAATAACATTACCCAGCCATGTCCAATGTGGATATTCTGGTGTCGAGCGATCCACACCAAACGAATTTGTAACGACATCGGCACCAAGAGAGCAATTTGTACCAGTGCCATCACTTTTAGTTGGACATAGCACCCATTGAGCCGCCATCAAAAAGTCACTTTTATTAGCTGCACCCCAAACATCAAATGCTCTCGCAGTGATCCATGTTGCATCAGGAGCTACGCCAACTCCTTTTCCACCAACTGCTGTTCCCATTGTGTGGGTCCCATGACCAACTTCATCGGCTGTATCCGGTGTCTCCTTTGACATATCTGTACCCGGCGTAAACCAAAATGAATAATCAAAGCTCACTTTGCCATCTTTCTTCGTTCCTATTCACCAAATGCAAGCAAAATAAGTCGCTTTGATATCAAACGCGATCAAATTTGCATCTACCTCTAAATGACTGCTTTAATACTTCATGCGTGTAACGAACACCCGAGTCAATGCTTGCGACTACCACGTTCTTCCCTTTGATTCCTTCCTTCCATAATTGAGGGGCATGAAGTAGCTTAATATTAGTTTCAGCTTCATTCTCCTCGTTCCCCTTTATGTCTTTTTCTCGTTGAGCTCCAGTAAGTTTTAAAATCTGAGCATCTTCCTCCACTTCCACCACCCCTGGAAACCCTGGTAGATCTTGTTTGAAAAAGTTTTTTAGCTCCTTGTTAACCTCTTGATAGTTGACTATCAATGTGTTTTGTAGCCAAAGACTCGAGATAGAAATGTTAGCTTCATCTTGACTTCTGATGAAGTTAGAGACACTACGCTGGACGTCAATCACAACACTGGAAAAGGTTTTGTGCACTGTTTCGCGTCTCTCAGAACGCGAAAGGTGCGGAGAAAGCTCTAATTTTCGCGCGTCGAGGCGCGGGTGAAGATGCACGAGCACAACACAATCGGACCCTTCAATAGACAGCAGTGCGAGAGCAATTGAGACCAAGAAGAGCACAAGTTGGTAACCCATAGTGATCGGACTCATCCTTGAAGTTTTATTATTAATTCACTGCAAAAATATACATAATATAATGAACTACTAACAAATTCAAATATTGTATCACGTAAGATTTTAAGGCTATTATGCCTCACTAGATTGAACTATCGAATGTGAATTCATAACCTATATACGATTCTCTCAAAACATTTTCAAAAAAAGTAATAAACAATGCTTTAGACCTTTTGCAAACAGGGAAGGAGGTTGCCAATCACCATTTTGGTCTCATTTTTAAGGTAGAAATTGGGATGGCTAGATCAAGCGTCATCGCTATATAGTCGATATATGCTGCTCCTACTTTTGACTTCCGTAGCGTACTTCTTACCACATTTATTTACCATCACTATATTATACTTCAAATTTAACGTGGAAATGTAATTTTCGTCTTAGACAAGAAAATTACTGTGAAGCATCATTTCATACCATAGGTGTTGGTACTTTCAAGTATAATGCGTCTGTTGTTTTGGTTCATTCGTCCATCTTGGCTATTCGTCAAGCGTGTTAGTACAATCGGATTTTTGTGAAAGGTATCAATTATCTTCCGGTGTGATCACCGTGAGAGCAGGACCAGTACCCGCCAGGAAACTATCGAGATCACAATACTACGTCCTACATTTAGTTTGATTACTATGGACAACAGGTATATGTGTACATCTGATAGAACATGGATGGAGAAGCATGGTCGATGTTATCTCATTGGCGATTATACCAACCAGCAGTCTTGCCTGTCCAACAAGCATTTTATTCCAACCGTACGACCAACATTTGAAAAAAAAATTCTTCAAGAAGCTACTATGTAGATCCATAGTTACATCTTGTCGGACATTTCCTTCTTCTCATTGCAGCTTTAACTAAATTATCAAAGCGTTGGCGCGAGCGCATTCCGTCACCATGGATGGTCACGGGTCGAACGTGCGAAATTTATGATCTCCGAGCATTGGTGCTGTCCATACATGTTGCTGTTCCTCGTAATGTAGTCGGAAGACCAAATGAAGGCTGAACCTTTTTGGAACAAAATATCAGCACCAAGCTAAAATCATCATCCGCCAGTGAGTTCTAGCACACGATCTTCTGTCGAAACTTTTTTTCTCCTTACACTTCGTGCTCACGTCTATAAACCTGTACTTACAACGTAAATTGACTGCTTCAAGTACGCTTTGCTGGGTAATTCATATACTTTCTTCGTCTGGAAAGGGACTTTACACTGCATGAAAATGCACTTGAAAAGACCCTCCATTGCACTCCCAATTGGTCCAGAACTGCATATAATGTTTCAGGAAGATTTCTTGCTCGCCGTAAAGCCGCCTAACTTTTATGTGGGAATTCGAATAAATTTTTACATGATACACTCGAAGATGCCTTTTAGCGATAAGATCACATTATTCAAACACTCGATTCGTTCTTCTTGAGTCAGCTGATTGATCGTTGAAGAAGACTTCCTCTACTGTTGAGACTGAAACGCTGAAACAATCCCACATCAAGGATAATGCAGTCAGGGCTATTAAGAGGCTGACCGGTTAATGCAACGTCCGATCTGCTTCCATGGCTCGACAATTTCTGGGTCAATTGGGCTACAATGCGCTTTTGCATTGTCCTGCTCAGTATGGATAGACATGCTTTTGCAGCCTTTCGGTCATTTGTTTTTGATCGTTGAAATGACACTTTGAAGCAACACCTTCGCGTATTCCTGATGGTTGACAGCTGTAATGTGTTTGTGGCCATCGCGCCACGAGGACAGGTTACAAACAAAAGGCCCGTTTGCCTCTTTCTTAAAACAAAAGATCAAATGCCCAGCTTTGCATCGAACATCGTTTTCTGTCAGGACCTCGTCGTGGATCACTTTGGTGATGTAGCGCTTGCTTGAGTGACGCGATATGAGAATTTGGGAATAATTCTGCTTGATTTACTTAAAAAAACTTCATCGAGGTGAGCTTAGGCATGGATAAGATGAGAGAACTTCAACGCTTTCCTGTCGATAAAAGACAAAACGAAATCGATTCTATTGGACTTGTTTCACCCCGTCAATCCCGGTTCAAGAATGCTCGAGATCGGTTTGAGCTTTTCTTCTTTAAGGATATCATGTACAGTCGCCACCGGCTTGTTAATTGCTGCCGACCTGTGAGTCAGTCTTCAAATCCTTACCAGTAAGGGTATGGATACTTCTTGACGACCTAAAAATTCTGCTTGGTCTCGATCTGACATCGATAACTGAAAAATCCCTTTTTGGGCTTGCTTCCAGATGTTACCAATACGCTGTTTGCGTTAAGTAAGTTTGGGAGAAGTCTAGGTAATGGCACAGTCTTCTAGTTGATTATCATTGCACCGATGCAGCAGAATCTGATAGACAGCTTGACGTTTATTCAAACAGTCATGTTTTGATTTTTTGATCTTAGTGGAGCTCTAGGCCATGTTTTTGATCGAATAAAATGAATGCTATTTATTCGAGTACAGACAAGTAGCTCCAGAAAGCCTGGAATAATAACAGTTTGCTTCCTCAGTTGCGGAATTCTCTCCACACTCAAAAATAATTTTGAGATGGAGGTAGCAGCATTGCAAGCCCATTCTAAGATCGACTTGCTTCCAAATGCATAATCTCTATCTGTGTGCGGAACACGACAAGTCCTTTGTAGGATGTGCACAAGATATTCCAAGACGGTGAGGTGCTCTCGACTAAATCCCTTAGTCAAGTAACTTACAGAGCACTGAGTGCAACGTGTGAGACGATTATCGTCAAAAATACAACGAATGCCTTCTTTACTTTGTTGAAGATCCATGGCGACGAAGAAAGAAGTAAACTAGAATGAGGGAGGGAGGTTTCGAATGACGTGGTGCATGTTACGGCACACGTCAATAATTCTCAGTAAGGAGAACAGCCTGAGAACGTGAATGCGTTTTGAGTGCAAAGCAAAAAAGGGATTGATAAACCAAAGTAAATCTAATGACGCATACAGTTTGATAGGCAAAAGGCAAGGGGTAAATCGTGCGTGTGCACAACTCGGTAATTGCGACCATCTTTTCGACGCAAACGATAATTTTCAGAAAGAGGATGTTACGAAACAGCTTGGTTGATCTATCCTTGATCAATGCTCTTGACCTAGTTGATGGGCTACCCATGTAAATACACCCCTCTCAGTGCAGTAACTAACCCGAGTGAGATGTGCCGGAAGTGGCAGGCTATGCCCTAGAGACAATTGAATGCAGCGGCGACGCTCAACCGTCTGGTGACACGACTGTTTAACCATGTTTTTGTCTATATATGCTGATATTCGTGCAGAGTATGTAGTGTCGGATGCGAACATGCATATTATACACCAGCAAGGTGACTAAGCTGTTTGCCAGCGTAAAAAATTGTTTGAGGCGCCAGCGAAGACTTATTTCTGGGCTGCTTATTTTGGAGAAGAGTCTGCGGATTGAAAGGCAAGAGATAATCTAGTGCGAGTTTTTAAGTGCCACTGGTTTAATATGAACCTTTGAAATGGCTTAACCTGACCAGCTACTTCCACAAGTATTGTGCAAATAAGCTGACATAGCTTGTCCGATACGTATCTGCAAGAAGTAAATCTCAGCATATGGCAAAGATTATTACGTCACATTCGAAAGCAAGTGATTAGTCAGACTTTGAAACAATACACACATGCCGTTTTGCTAGTTCTGCCATTCCTAAACATGATCTGAAACTATGTCAAGAAGGTTCATGAAGGACAGATAATTGCATCTAGGTCACACCAGCTAAGCGATACCTTCAAAACATTTGTCGCAGAAAATGTCAAGATAGCTATCATTCCATGCTGAGTGTACCTTCAAAAGGTAATATGAGCATGCGGCTTAATGTGGCGGTAGATGCACTCCCAAACTATAAATTTCAGTATCTCACGATGGCAACGCCGCGAAGAAATAAAACATTTTGTGGGTTTTGTGTGTCGAACGAAAATGTATTGCATTATTGAAAAGCTTTGAAAAGCAATGCGCTTGTAAGCTTAAACGTCACTTTGTCGAAGCATTTGGTTGCCCGGTTACCCTGCAAATCTTTGTGTCAATGCTATCGAATTCCAACCGACTCACCGCGTACGTCATGGACTATTCGAGTACGAATACTGTATGGTGTACATGATGCCCCCACGAATACCACTTTAGTAGATAGAAGATGTACGGTTCGTCGAGCGCCATATACTGGAGGTCGAAGATAAACCATTGGATAAGCACATATGTGCGCATGTGTAAAATGTGTCATCAGGTCAGATCTTCGACACGTGTGTAGGCAATGCGGAGGCCCTCCATAAAAACGGTCACTGTGACCGCCTCGAAGAGAGGATCCACCGAAGGCCATTGTGGCGGCACGCATTCTGGCAGAATTTGGTGATCTTTGACATGAGTGTTCGGCAGCAAGCTGGACATGTCCATCGGTCACCATCCGCAGACAGTTGGTCAGACAAACACGTACATTGCCACCGGCCCGCGCGGTACAGGAGCTGAACACCACAGTTAATGCAACACCCTCCGCTGCTCCTAAATACGTAGACTTTGACGCGGAAAGGATAAGTGCGAGCCGCACTCGTTTGAAGACTCTTAAAATATGGTAATGTTGCCGCATCCAGGTCAGAATCTGCCGCCATCATGGCGATAACGGCTCACAGACTTTCAACATTGCATCACTCCCCGTAAAGGGTGGACAGTATGAATAAGCAATGACTTTTGTGAAATCAAACTCATTTCCTATGTTCAATAATAGAAGTATGTATTGCACCACTTGATACGAGCAGCCTACGAGACCCACGGGTCTCTCCGATACAAATCTTCTTCCGTATCGATACTGATACATCTGAGATTTGCATGCTATATATATAACGTGTGTTTGTTAAGCTACAGCGGAAAATACCCCAAACGGAATTTTTGTATAATGTTTGATAGTTGTGTAGTCTAGTTCCCAAATCGACACCGTCCAATGGCTCGACAATATCCAAATTTATTGGGAATTTTTGACGTGAATAGGCCTCCATTAGTAAAAGACTGGATGTGTCCGAACAGAATCGTTCATTGGCTAAGTTGGAGAGCCGTAACAAGGTCGTGTACTTTGACACACAATCTCATGCAATTTCTTCGTGGTAATTTAAACGACCAGTTGTCATGTCGCACTATCATATTTATGTGTTTGGCTATAAAGTTAATTTATGGTCAAAATCTTATATTATTAGTCGTTATACATTGTACAACGAGGTTGTCGTGCATTTGCACTAAGGACGATTTGTCTCAAATGTTCTGCATTCACAAACTTTTGAATTGTCGATTCTAATTAAAAGCGAAACCGAGCGTCCCCATTATATCTGGGTTACTTTAACCTAAAACGAACCGCCTTTATTGTCTGACGCGCGGCTAGCAGCCCACGTACACCGTAGACCTTTCCTTTTTGGAGCTCCATCATTTTCGTAGATGCTGTTTTTTGGTACTTGCAAACATTCATAATTATATCATGATGTGATGTGAGTTTCAGAAATGCCGTGACATCGTTCCAGGTCCGCACACTGCGCAAATGAGGCCGATATCACCACCAACAGCCGCATACTCGCTTAAAAAAACGTTTTGGTTATTATAGCTTACTAACTAATAGTGCGCTTTCTCTTTTAGTGGGCATAATAAGACTACGATGTACCGAATAAAATGCACTCCTCATAGAGCGCGCCGGCGATGTTTATTGGCCGTGCCTCCAGTGCAAAGTTCAAGCGATTTCAGAATATAAGTTATATGATGAATCGATTAAACTGAAAGTAGTCGAATGGATTCGTGATAACGCCAGTGTCATTTCTACACCGGCTGCAAAGAAGATTAAGCTCCCCCAGGGACGGTGTGGACCCGGTAGGCGAGCCGATCCAGAATTCTCGAGACTCCCATAAAGAAGGCGCTTAAGCGGCGGCGGGTGCACAGGCAACTTTACTGAATATGATGACGACCTGACTGATATCATCATTGCTCAAGAGGTGACCAAACTGGATAACTTAATACAAAGGTAAGCTCACGGTATCTGATGGCTGGTTGACCAAGCAATTGATTCTCGTGTTGTCGGTTTGATAACGAATCGTGCGTTTTAGTTAACGAAATATCTGGTCAAATTCAGATCAAGTTGCGGTCCTTCAAACACGAGGCTCATGTATTGATACTGTTGTTCATTTGGAAGCCCGTGGCGCAGAACAGAGGATATAACTGGTGTACGTCACGTTCTTCTACAAATCATTGAATTTGCCTCTGTGACAATAACAGTTGAGCTCACCGTCAAGGTTGATGGCAGCGAAGTGACGCTTCATCAAGAGCAAAGATTCACCTATTCAAATAAACATGTCATATGGTTAGTACATCAAAGCAAGACCTGCGTGAATTAGGAAATACTGATTTCATGGAAGGGATATGTAATTTTGCGCGTCACAGTCAAGTCTAAAGGAGAATGCTTGTGTGGGATTCTTGCAGGAACATTTTAAACGATGTCAAAGCTGATACAAAGCACCGAAAATCAGTTTGGATATGTTTTTGGGAGGATTCACTTCATACGTTCAAGCAGGAGACATTTGTTTGAAGATGACCTGTCATCATTGATTAAGGCCTGGAAGAAATCTGGCAATAATGAGCGAGCTCGCGACAGGAAATCTAGATCTTCAAAAGGCGAAATAGCTTGTGATTGGGCCAACTTGGTTGGCGGAATGTTCCCAGATTGCAATTTAGAAACCATTGCCTATCGTGACGATTTGAGGTATGACATATTAATTGGCATAATGTTTATGGGTCGCAATTCAGAGGACTCTGGATAACATGATGAAGTGAATTGTATGGGAAGAATTTAATCACGAAGTCGAGGGCAGTGCCGATTCCTTGTGAGCTCACGGGAGTAGAGCAGCCGTCTTTACATATGCCTACTTGCGCAATTTCATTCACCACCGTGACGACGACGACATTGAGAAAGATATTGCACCTCATCAGAAGTCTTAACTGCTTGATTTCATAGTATCAATAGAAAACTGGAGGGACTGAAAAGTAAATGCGATGTGAACAAAGTGCAGCAAATGGCAGGGTGATCATGCTGTAGATGGCGTGTCCAGATACGTTATGCCTGCCAAACAAATCCAAAATGCTGACTAATCCTATTTTTATCTTTGAGCTTGTCTTATTTTGATCCTTCTCATCAACTGTTGTCTATTATATTGTCTAACAATATAGCTATCGCGTACCAGACGTTCAAACCAGGTCGATGAAAGCACGAGTCACAATTACCGCAAAGTATATAGAGAATTTTAATTGATTGACGACAACAAGCGCATATTCACCTCGCAAGTTTTATAATTGCATTGCCGAATAAAGCAGATACCTAGATCGTTAATAATAAGCTGAATCATTGCTAGTAAAGCTTTATAGCAATTCCAGAAAGAAATGATGGAAGCAATGTTTTAGGAGCTAGCAAAAAATGACACGTGTGAGGCCAATGACAACGAGACAAAAATGGCTGCCTATTGTAAGAAGTACTTTGGAGGGAAAGCTGAGAAGAAGGGTTGTACTACGTTTTTGGTCAGCAATTTCCATAGTTGTCGCATGTTGTGGTAGAGGATCCATCAAATAGTGCGGACAAGGCTGATTTAATTCACTGCCACACAACTTAGTGGCTGATCGCAATAATTTTTCTGACATTTATTGAAACGATTTACAAACGCAGTGAACCAGGTATGACAGCGACGTCTATCCATGAAGTTTGGCGAGACAAAGACGCAATGCTTGCACTTGTAGTTCGGAACAGATCGAAATCCGCTTAACATTTCTTGGTTGTGGCATTATCGATGCTGATGCTGGTGCGTTTCTGGTCGCGGGCACGAGCATAGCTGCAACGGGTTTAGATGTGCCCTTTGAGAAAGAGTGGGTCGTATAAAATTGTGCGACCGTTGATAGGTATGTATTACACAGTGCTGTGGCTACACGTTAACAAGAAGCCACTACGTAGCAGGATTGCCAGAATGCTTGATAATACTATATTATTTAGGTTAATTAGGTATCAATATACTAATTATGAAAGCCTATGGTCTAGAAACTGGCGACTCTGCCGCAACTAAAACAATTAAATACAGTTTTGTTTTTGAACAGAAGTGTTCATTTGCCTTGGTAAAACCTTAATACTTAGAAGTATTGCGATCCGCTACACTTGTATTGGCTCTTTGAAAGAACGTAAGGTCGGTGACCTTAGCTTAGCTTCCTCTCAGCAAAGAGCTACGGCAACCCCGCTGCAATAGCACCGTCCTGCCTAATTCCGACACAATCAGTATTTCACCGGTTGCCGTAATTTAACGGTGATTAAAGTGATAGTATAGTTTTAGTGCTTTTACCTCTCGATTCACTGTAACAGATCAATCTTGCAACACTCTGTCCTAGTGCGAAATGAGACATTGAACCGTTTGTGATATTGAGTCCTACGCAATAGGATAGAACAAAGTACCGGTGGTACATATACTATACAGTTAATCCTGAAAGGCAACTGATGCATCAATAGTTTCTTCACGCATTGTCTGTTTCTCAATTCGACAAATTGTGAAGAAATCTCCATGTCGGATGGTGAACAATGCTTTACTTATGCGGCTTGATTGTAATGTGGTTGGCGGTAATTTTTTTCATTTATTTCTTGTTGTGTAGCTTATGAAAATGACAGAATGTAATGCAATTTTGTTGATAATTTTGACACAAACTTTAGCTTACGAATAGTGTATGATTCTGCAATCATTGAAATATTTAAAAGCTTTGACTAATTTATTTTTACTCACGTCTATTATCATTATATACATCATCTCATTATATTTTTTATTCGATGACAGAGACGACCGACTTGCAATCTTCTTCGCCAACTACAAGCGGCGTCTTACCGGACCATGATCCGTCAGCACTCGAGTATGAAAAACATTCGTCAGAAGATCAAAGTGCAAAACTTGTGATTCTTACAGTGAATGACGTGTATGACATGGTTCCCAATGAACACGGACACGGTGGTATCGCAGAGTTTGCGACTCTGCTTGAGCAACAGAAAGCTGCGCTTCAAGATGATGTTACGCTGCTTGTTACAGTAAATGGAGATTTTCTATCGGGCTCAGAAATGGCTGAGCGGTTTAAAGGGTACGTCCTATGAAGTATCTACTTTTTATAGTTTTGAAACGTCTAAAACGCTATAATGGCTTTCAAACAGCGCACACATGATTGAGCTTATGAATCACTTGAATATTGGATATGTCGTATTAGGCAATCATGAATTTGACTTTGGGGCAGAAGAACTCAAGCTGCGAATGCGCGAGTCAACTGCGAAATGGTTTGGGTCGAATGTCCGGGATTCGGCTTCCGGCAAATTGTTTCAAGGTGTTGTGGATACTGAAATTATCCCTTTAAAGGATGGTCTCAAGCTGGGATTGTTTGGAGTGTGTACCGAAGAGACTCCGACGCTGTCGTTCCCAGGCGCTAGCGTACAATTTGATGATGTTTTTCTGACGTCTCGCCGCTGTGTAAACCAGTTGCAAGCTCAAGGTGCAGACTTTATTGTGGCACTGACTCATCTTTCTGTATCACAAGACAAGAAGCTTGCTCGTCAAGTGCCTGGTATCGATTTGATTCTAGGAGGCCACGACCACGAACCTTTCACAATGTACGAAGGCAAGACGTTAATTCACAAGTCAGGACAGAATGCGTTGTGGCTAGCCAGACTCGAATTTGATATAAAGCGCTCGTGTAAAGATTCAGCGCAAGGAGTGAATATTCTTCCACAATGGAGTATGCTTGCAAATGCAAATGTACCACCACAGCAAGCATGTCAACAAATTTTGTACAAATACATGGAACAAATGGCTATTGAAGATGCGAATGCTAGAAATGACCAAGTATTGGCAACATTGTTGGCTCCACTTAGTACAAAAACAGCATTATTGCGAGCTGGAGAATGCAATGGTGGAAATTTAGTGGCCGATGCATTGCGTGCTGAATTGACAGCAGATATAGGGTTCATTAATGGAGGATTTATTCGTGGAGACAGAGAATATCCTGCTAAGTCGAGTATTACTGTTGGGATACTAAAACACGAGATGCCATTTCCAAGACCTGCAGTCCTCGTTCGTATTACAGGTCGTAATCTACGCGATGCCTTTGTTCAGCATTTGTACAAATACCCAGAACAGAGTGGTTCACATCCACATGTGTCTGGATTAAAAATCACAATCGATGTGAACGTCACTCCGCCATGTGTTACAGAAATGCTTCACGATAATGGCGAATCAGTTGATTTGGAAAAAGAGTTCCTTGTAGCTACGTCCAAATTTGTTGCTGGTGGTGGAGATGGCTGTTCGGCATGGTTTAAGGGGGAAATTATACGTGAAGCATCTCAAGTTCCTGATATTGTGGCCGAATTTCTGATGAAAAAGCGATTATTGGATTACAAAAAGTCTGAAGGACGGATTACGCTCATTAAGTAGACATATCTATAACATGTCGCAATAGGACGTAATTTTAGTCTATAGAATTTTTAAGTATAGAGTTCCTGTCCTCAACATTCGATGAGATTGTAACTTTCCATGTCTTTGTCACTTCATTCAACATTCGTGAAGCTGACATACGTATAAAAATGAATAAATTAAAGTATCAATACACACATAAGTCTTCGAACCACTAAGAATCTCTATGGCTGGCAGGTAAGGAATCGTGAGAAACTTAAGCCTTATGTTGTTTGAGCTCTCATACTTCATCTAATATTATACGAATTAAAATAGTACAAACGAGTATTTGTAGACTCTATTTTAGTTGTTGTAACATAGCACTATTTCTACAAAATGATCACGACCAAATTTCATTGGCTTCTCGCTCTCCATCTGGTTCGGCCTTTTTCTGAGTCGAATGTTCTGACTTACTTGGCGCAGTGCCCACGCATCGAAGCTGTCTTCCATTTCCTCGCTCTTGCACTGGAAGTAACACTTTTGTAGCAAGTGCTACTGTGCGGCACTCTTGACTGCCCTTGAGCTTTATACGCAATCAGTTTTTATAACTTACGCTTATTGCTATAAAGTTTATTGTCGTCTCTTGTCGTCGCTTTGTGATCGGTGCAGTCATCGAGCGTTTGCATAGAGGAGGCCATAGGCTTTCAAGCCACTAACTCGCTACTTAAGTGTTTTGCGTCTGTATACTTTGCGACGATTCGGGTCACTGGAGCCAAGACTTTTTATTCAGTGCGATAGTTACTAAGCAACATGCTTACGTGGTGCTTCTTGATGATGGTCATTGTCGACTTGGGGCATGTCCACGGTATGTATAGTGTATTGTTATGTAAATTTGCTGAAACTCAAAGTAGTGGTCATAATGTTCTAGTTGAAGCAGCAGCATGTCCCGAGATCTGCTACACGACTGAGCTGACAGGCTTTGGACCGGGAGGAAGCGCTGGATGCACCTGCAGTGGTCAACGGCAGGGGGCACGTGTTGGTGATGGAAGCTGCAGCTGTGGTCAGTGTTATTCAGCATCAGGCAATGGCATCATTGGGTACGCCATTAGCAGCGACGGCACGTGCACGTTTGGAACGGACTGTGGCGATTGTGACTACTCGCCCGATGGAACATCGAATACTTCGACTCCAACGAGCAACTCCAGTACCACGACATCTCCGTCATCTGCAACACCAACGATAGAATCTCCTACTTTGGTCACACCTACGCCAGGTAACTTTGATACAATGTTATTGAAAAGTTGTTGACTCTTCTTCTGACACATATTGAAATCATGTTTTGATGGGTGTCTTATACGGACACAGATACCCCTTCTACTGTGGCGCCAGCTGTGACTCAAGAGATCAATAGCTCGACTACTATTCCAACAATAACTAATACCAACATCTCTGATTCGAGTAATAGTAATGCAAACCAAAATATAGGGAGCGACTCGGTCAGTCAGGGTGAGAACCAGCAAAATTAATATGATGGTAACTATCGTGTTGATTGACACTATTTTTTGATATTTACAGGAAATGGTAGCGACAGTCTCGAAACTTGGCAAATCGCGTTAATTATTTGTTGTGGTGTCCTCGTTTTCACAGTAGCTGTTGTTGCTGTGCTTTCATGCTACTGCAAAGCCCGTAATCGTTTATTTGAAAACGAAGATGATCAAGCAGATGTCAATTATTATCAGCGACCGCCATCTCGTTTTCATGAAGATGTTATGGGGTCAAATGTGGCTGCCACACCGGCGGTATTCTCAGGACCACCGTCGAGCACTCGTCGATCTGTTAGCTCAAGCAGTCTTACGAATGACTTTAAGCCAATGTACGCAAGTTCGACCAACAGTGGTAGTTCCGAACGATTAATGGTTGGTCTCGCTCCCGTGCGTTCACAACACAGCTCAAGCGACTTAACTCGATCATCTGACAGTATTCTACAAGAACGAGCTTTGTCCGGAAGCTATTCGACAGAATTAGGACTGAATACAGGCAACAGAGCACTAGGACGCTATCCTAGTTTCGAGCACCGGTACCACACTACGCGCGAGCGAGAGATGCTCGCGGTGGATTTGTAAATATCAAAACTTGTCTCGTGCTAGCAATTACGAAACGAGAAAATTGTGGTCATGATAGCGATTTGCGCCAACGGTAGCGTCAAAAAGAGCAAGGATTTTGCGCCAAGGATTTCGTTTTTAAAGATGGTTTTGGAAAACGCTCCGGAAAGTTGAATTATAAGCACGTAAGTTCCTGTGATTACTGGATGCATCTGCTTTATTTCTTGTGGATTATTCCTATCCGCGGCATTTACGGGACTGGCTCCGACAGTATTCGACTACAATCATTTGAGGTACTTTGTGACCAATGATTACGAAGGAAAAGTACGTCAGCTCGGTAAATACAATTTTAATATAACTGGGTGGCAAAGAAAAAAATTCAACTGAACTAACGGAAGTATTAATATACTCTTTAATTATAGTATAGGACATCACATTCAGCGTTAAGGTACTATTTTTGGCTGCTAAATATCGAAATTCTCTAAATACATGTGATACTGTAAGAAGAAAAAAGACTTAATGAAGCATATGTCGTGCTATGTTTCTTTTTTCTTCTTCTCGATATCGAGGTGTGATCTGCTACCGCATAGTCTGTGTCAATACTTCTTTTCTCTTTATAAGGTCTGCTTTGGAGTGATTCACACCAAAAATGTACGCAATTTTTTTTACAACTTTACAGTGATAGAATTTTATCGAAACTGTGCCATATGCATCGCTATCATTCCAAGACTTGATTCCAGAATAATTGTTGTATTCTTCTCACTACAGTGTGATTTTGTCGTGTGATTTCACCTCACTGAAGATTCCCGATCGTCAATATATTCTAATAATTTCAACCCTCATAGCTTTGAAGTTCTTTGATAATTTTTAGCAAAAAAATACTTTGACAGCCACAGCTCTCTTTTTCTATATAATACATAGATATTCACTAATTGAATCATTGAAGTTACTGCAATAATTGAATGTTTGAGATCCAGGCCACAACCAATGAACAATCAGCATTTGCGATGCTTTGTAGCCGCACATTCATATGACCATAATCTGTCCGGTTAAAACGTTTCTAGCGCAACAAGCTACCAATTCTGCCCATTTTTCTAGTTAATATTCTTAAGTCTTGGTGAACTTTTATTGCGAACTTGTTTTCACGAACCTTCCGTACTGTTCAAGTGATCATCCACATTTGAGCAAAACAAACTCTTCTTCGCTACATGTGGGCTTTCTTAGCCATTGTCCAATGGTTGCTCGACATCAGTGTGTAGCTTAAATGTGACACGTGCTTGGCCTGTGATGTCTATAATCAGCGAGCATAATCCACATCGTTATACCTTGGAGTATTTGATTTGCATCAGCAACTTCTCTTATCCAGTCCATCCTTATAATCGGCTCAATAACGGCTAGCCTCGGTCCACCACCAAGTTCTGCTACTTTCTTACATGAGTGTGTTTAGGAAGTGCATAACAATAGTGTGCTGTCGGTAGAAAATGTAGCAAGTAGTCTTGATATTACATTAAGGCAAATTAACACAACATTTAGTTTGTCTGAGCATTCGTAAAAACGCAAAACCTCCCTGAATGTATATCAATGCATTCACGAAGGGTTATATCATACTGATATAAAGAAATTGTAACACTACTGGAGAAGGCAGATGCTCCAAGATTATTAGTACGCTGGCTCGGTTGTCCGAATCGATCCAACAACCGTAAGGACTGGCAGCCCTGTCACAAAACCAACTCGTTAGACGAGGTTGTTATAGTTATCACAGCCTGCTGTACTTGCTGGTCAATTGATTAACACGCATCGAGCTATAAATATTTAGAGCTTGTATCAGGTTATATTTGAGTGTAAGCTGGACGAAGAAACGCATGACAGTTCCTCGCGATGAGCTGATGGGAGTGTGCGAGAGAAAATTAGACGAGGCTGTGGTGTCAACAAAGCATCATCGTTCAAAAAATGTAATCAGCCCAAAGACCAACGCAAGAAACGCGGCACATGTGGTAGCTGTGGCTGCGGCTGTGTCGTCCGACACAGTCATAAAATCTCGTATTGCTGCGGCGGAGTATGCTCCCGCCGGCGCACTAGCCAGCGAGGATAATCTCTCGTATCAGGTTGTCTCTGTTGAGTTCAATCAGCCGTTTGTCCGGCAAAGAAAAGTCAGAATCCGTGGCTCAACTAGTCCATGGACACCGTTGGTGATTTGGACCAATCATTCTTGGATGTGCAAGCACACGTATCCACTGCCTCTTCGGCGAAAATAAATGCAACATCGCCTTCATCCATTTCATAGTCACCACTACCGACTCTCCTTCTCCACGATATGGAATAAGTGTGAGCCTTCGATGCGCTAACAAGGTGTATCGACAAAGAGAAGTGATATATCGAACGAGGTATCCCCTCGTCGGCGACTGGAGATTTTGGTTACTCAACGTACGAAAGATGCAGATCGAATTCGATCATAGCCATACGTTCATCGGAGGGTACTCAGCAAGGAGATGCTGGATCGTTGATAGAAATGGTCTGTAACGAAGTTGACCGTCCCGGTAAACTCACTTTTCTGAAGAAGGCTTAGGTCAACTGACACGTCTCGCCGCGTGTTGCTCGCTTCCCACGGACCGTTGACTTACGTAGGGATGAGAAAAGGTGAAATGACTATAGCCAGTAGGCTTTTAACCTCCCTGATTTGACGAGTATTTCCAGCTCTAATACAACAGGGCTGAAAGGGGGTGTACAACTAATATGAGACTTACGAATGATGAGGTTCGCAAAACATGTGTAATGGGACTTGGCCCGTTACACCACCACCTCACTCAATACTGGGTTTACCCAAATTCTGAATTTTCTCTTACTCTTCGTCCAATTCTCGCTTGAGTGGCAACCCGCACGTGACAGAGTCGAATACCAGGGGCAATCAAGTTGGCCGGAGCTAATTACGCAGATGGGGTATGCGTCTTGGACGCATGGACTGAACTATAGACGGCGAACTCCACCATCGACAAGAACTCGTATCAGTCTGAAACCACTAGGCGAAACCGCCGGGATTCTTTTTGAAATCGCGGTATGTGGGTCCCGTTTGACCATTTGTTTGTGGTTAGTCAGCTGCAAACATTATCAACCGTAATATAAGTGTCAGAATACGGATTGCTCGAACTCCGCGCCGAACTGACTGTGTTCGCGGTCAGACAATAAATGTTTAGTTAGCTACGAAATTGTAAATCATGTCAACAGACACCCTAGTACGCGATCTACTGAGATTGATTCCGGAAACGCAGCAAGGTAGACCATCTTGCTGAAAAATCAACAAAATCTAAATGCATATGCATGTGCAATACTCAAGCTAATCGATCTAAAATGATGTAATAACCATGGCTGAACTCAGAGCGCTGGCTATGGCTATGAAAAGTTTTGCAAGCGCGCACGTCCTCGCGGACAAATTATATTGGTGCAGCCAATAAGGTCGCGACTAAGCATAACATATATGTCTTTTCAAGCAGCGAGGCTGCCGTCGCTCGTTCGCCTTGAGTTTGCTTGGTTAAGGTCGGTGACCTTCGTTTTATACTTAAAACCAGTACGAGTGTAGCGGATTGCAATCTACTTACTCCAAGAGTAATTACAACCTTTCCCCTTGGCTAAGTTACTCTTCCATTTAAAACGTAACCTGTATATATCTGGCTTACTTGCGGCAAAGCCGTTTATGTCTAAATCTATAAGTTTTCCTATCTATATAGTAAAACATTATTAAACGTATCACTACTGGCTGTTCCAGCCACGTACTGACTCGTTGTTTGTAGCCACACCGTTGTGTGGTCACACCACCTTGTGTTACTCACAATATTGTGCGAACACACTATCTTGTGTGACCCACACCCTTCAGACCAGGGCATGTGAAAGCCGTTACACTCTCCCCATCAAGCTTGTGAAGCCTCCACTTCACATTTAACTGTCTTCTCAAATGAGGTTCGCGTGTCTAAGACACCGCAACATCACCAGACCATCTTCAAAAATTCGCTGCTAAATGAGCCCTGTGCCGAGGACTCGGAAGACATCCAGCCTCGCTGGGATCCAAGACGCCTTCTTCTTCGTCTCCTGCACGCCGTGAGACTTCGGGCAGCACGTCCGCGAGTTCAAGGAAAGCGCAGCTCAAGCTCTTGGGAGCCAAGTACCGCGCAGCGCATTGCGACAGAGTCGCACGACCAAGAACACAGACGCGATGTCTTTACCTAACCACGCAACGCGCCTGCCACAGGCAATGGATTACCTCGTCGAGGATTCGATGAAGTTGACTACGATTCGGATACTCTTTTCACAGGATGGGAAGAAGAAGAGGGCAAGGTGCCCCAGCGGTGCGACGTCAGCTCGACCCTTGCGGGGACCATGTTCGACCTTTGGGGGAGAGTGGTGTCATTACCAATGACCTCAATGAGGTACAGGGGTAGCAGCTGGATGCTGTTCGCAGGGCGGCTCCCGTGCCGGCGCATCCACGGTCCATCCCTGGCCCTCGTATGGAAGACGGCTTCCGCTCGGCGGGTCTCGCTACAGAAGCGAAGGGCGCAATCATTCGCTCGTCGGGCGTCTATGTGATCGGCCCCTCGGCCCCTAAACAAGCTGAACTTGACGAAAGAAAAGCTCAAAGAGCTCGCTTCCTTTTTCCTCAAGTAATCCCAGTGAATACGTACCGAGCTCGACTTCGTGCTAAAGAGGAGGCGCTCCTGTACCCGCGATGCGGAAGATTCCTGCCGTGATTGCCCCTGGCAAAATCGCTGAAGATGACGAAGAGATCTTTGAGCGATGGTGCAGCGGAACCGTAAACTTTCGTCGCTGTACAGCTCTCCGTTGATCCACAAAGAAGTGGATGTGCGCGTGGAACGCCATCTTTGGTTTGAGTTTGCCAAACTAAAGATGCGTCGTCGGCTTCCTTCAAATTGTCGTCCTGCGACGTATGCACGCCCCCGCGAGCTCTGTGGTCTCTCACATGGGTAAATCTGCGACGACGGCATCTCAGGGCCATAGCTTGAGCTTAACTCATGCCTTTTAGGCTTCTCTGGCTACTGCCGAGAAGCGCGGGGCGTACGACGACGCGGAACGGCATGATCCCTTTGACCATAAGGGTCCACGACGTCTGGGCAGTCTTGTCAAAGTTGCACTTCAAACTCCCACGAGCTCTCGAATTTGGTGTATCCCCTTCTCTACATAAGAAACTGGATTTGACCCTGGCGACAACGTCGAACCACTAGACGTTCTTCGTGATAGTGGTTCGACGTTGACGAATGGGCCGATCGCCGTTCGGTAACTCGAGATGTTCTTCTAGCTCTTGAGGACAAGGTCCGTCGCAATCGGAACTACGTCGATCGTCATGCTGAGGGTACATACCGCTGCGCGGAAGACCTAGAGAGCTTATAGCACGTTGTACACCGGCTACCTCACATTGAGAACTATCACGCTCTATTGGAGCGGGCCCTGCCGTATAGCTGACGAATGGGTCGCTTCTTGCGAAGGTGGAGCGTTTGGCTCCGTTGAAAATGAATTTGCTGCTCCGTTTTAAAAAGTAGTTGCTGGTCCAGCTTCTGGGTGATAGAGCGCCTGTGGGCGCCGTTCCGGTGCCAACGCTTTCGCTTTCACGTAAGCCTACAGCCTGAGCAAGCTCACATGAAACACCGGGTGAATGCGCATCAGTTTAGGAAATTTTAGCGAATTCGCACGTCCCCGCTTGGCCATGACCGTTAAAGGCCCGACAAACCGTGGACGGAACCTCGTCTTAAAGACAGCAGAAATTGCATGGATAGGAAGGTTAAAAAACCAGGTCTCCGACCCCAAAATTTTAACATTGCTCTTCCTCTTGTCTTGCATCGCGAACATACTCAGTTTGGTAGACAGGAAGTCATTGACTTCTTTATGAATAGCGAGAGCGTTGATATCAGCTAGCCGGTTGGCTGTTCTTCCCCCCAAATTCTGGACCAAGGATTGGCGGCGTCAGCGGGACGCGAGGATGAACGAGCCCGTTCATGTAGAACGGCGTGTAGCCGGGAGACGAATGCACTATATTGTTCGGTGCAAACTCTACAAATGGCAGCATGGCGCTCCAGCGTGTCGGAGTCTCAGCGCAGACGCTGTGAATGACGTCCTTGACGACGTGATTCACGCGCTCGTTTGAACATCAGTCTGCGGATGGTCCGCTGTTGACATATGCATTTTAGTGCCCATCACCTTGAAAATTGTCAGCCAAAACTTCTCAGTGAAGAGTGGGTCTCTGTCGGAGATAATTGACTTCGGGAGTCCATGTTGTGGAAAGACATGATCCACAAACAGCGTCGCTGTACCGACACCGTCGATGTTGTCCGACACCGCCACAAGATGAGCCATCTTCTTCAAATAGTCGACGAAGACCACGACACGCGTGTTACCCACCGGGTCCATCGGCAGGCCAGAAACAAAGTTCAAGCGATGTATTGCCAACACCCGGAGGGTACAGCGGCGCCGCCACATTCGGGGTAGGTTTCACCCTTTGACACGTCTCGTACGCACATAAGTGTTCGTCCATTAGTACAGCTTGGGTCACCAGTAGTGGCAATTCACAGTGCTGTATGTTTTCTCACGACCGAGACGACCACTGAGTGGGGTGTCGTGGGCCTCATAGAGACAACAGTACTTCAATTCCTTATCATGAGGAACCCCAATTCGTGGAGTATCCAACGAGTCGAACCTAGAAAACAACAATCCATCATTCAATGGATATCGGTGGAAATGTGCACACAATCCGCCGACAACTTCTTGTCCGAGTTTCCAAACTTCTGGTCCCGAGAGCCTGTAGCAGCGCTACACACATACCATCACCCGCGCATGCGGTGCGGATCAAATCCGTCACTATCGACGACATCGTCGTGACATGAGCAGGCTCATAATTTGGTCTGCGTGACAACGCATCATCCAAAGCACTTTACTTTCCTGGCTTTTACTTTACCTCGAGGTAATATCATGCATATAAGGAAAGCCACCTGGTCATCTTCTGCGAGAGGTGAGGCGACTGAGTCGCAGTGCGGAATGACGCATGATCCGTGAAAATCACAAAAGGCTTTGAGCCAAACAAGGTCACTCTGAACTTGACAAATGCATACTTCATCGCAAGCATCTCCTTGTCGCGGACTGGGTAGTTTTGTTCTGCAGCCTTGAGACTCGAATGCGATCATCCAGTCTCGCCCCTCGGCGTCTGCTCGCAGCAGTGCACAGCCGATGACAGAGTCCGAAGCGTCACAGACGACACTGAAAGGGCGATTAGGGTCTGTTAACGCCAGCATTGGTGCATGAAGGAGGCTGACGTTGGCCCTGTCAGAAGCCTACCGATGCTCGGTGTTCCAAAACCATACCTTATCCTTTTAGGGGAGATTAGACAATGGCCGTGCCATTTCCGCATAATTTGCGCTATGCTTGTGCAAGTAGTTGGCGAGGCCAAGCTACTTGCGCAAGTTCTTTTTGTTGTTTGAACCCGGCCAGTCCTCATTGTCCTTAGCGGGATCCGTTCAAAGTCCACGCTTCCCGATGAAGCACCTTAAAAAGGGGAATTTCTCTTGCTGCCAAAGATGCACTTGTCTGCATTAGCATACAGCTTATTCGTGCGCATACACTCGAGCACCGCTCTTAAATAAACGATGTGGTTTTCCTCATCTGTCCTGCCGTGCTTCGCACGATTGAGGATGAAACTTTCGCCGAAGTATGTCTATGCATACGCCCGGTGGGTCCTTACAACTGCGTAACAAGACGAACAAATGTTACTGGAGTATTTGACAGACATTGAGGCATCACCAGTCACTCCTAGAGCATGCCGCTTGGAGTACTCACAGTTGTCTCACTCGCTCTCATGAGCAATTGGTAGTACCCATCGACTGAGTTATGTGCGCTATACTTTGTACAGCCAACCATATTGTTCTGGTGAAATTTTTTCTAGGCGTCTGTGCCGGAATGGTGGCACCTTTGAGCTAATTGTAGGCGTGAACGAAACGCCACTTGCTGTTCGGCTTCCGGACACAAAAGGTGGGTGTCGAATAGAAAGACCTGCTCCCACGAACCATTTTTACGTCGTGCTTCGCACGAAAAAGGCGCCAATGACATCGCGCTGCTTCTTGGGCAGGGGTCATTGGCGAATTACGCAGTAGTTGATTCCCGGGATGAGGTCGACTTCATGATGCATATCTCAGTCCGGAGG